TAACAAGTTCGTTTGCTTGCTGGCTTAAAACAATGTTGTGATTATGTTTCATTGCATGTGTTAATTTACGTATGTAATTATTTCACTTAATACACATAATTATATTAAGTGGTACATACTTTAAAAACAATTTCGAAGAACTGTAATATTTTTAGTAAAATTTAAAAATTAATGCGGGTAAAAGTACAGAACTTTCTAAAACAATAAATATTAAATTTATATCTATTTTAAAAAATAAATTCAGATTTCGAAATTTTCCAGCTGTATACAACGATCAGAGTATTTATTGTTTTACTAAAATAATTGTTATACTAAAAACAAAGCCATGCCTATACTGTGTATTTCATTTTTACTAGTATTTTTGTTAATTGTATATGAAAAATGCAGATTAATTAGATTCAATAAGTTTACCAATTATTATGTTCTGGGTTTTTTAATTTAAATTTTAATTTAAATTCGTTGCAAATTACGCTTTTATAATCTAATACTAATTTCTCAATCTAATGTTACATAATATAATGTTTTTTTAGTTTTAAATAAACAGGAATAATAAAAGTACATAAATGGTTTTCACTTTTAACTATTGAAAACCCAAACATTCTATAATTTTAGTCTTAATCACAAGTGTTTTGAATTTATGATCAATCATAAGACTTCTATCCTTAAATTTATTTCTCGCTATTTAATCATCATATTGTTGATGATGAAAATTTCGATAAACTTTCCAAAGTTGTTTTGCCGCTAATCAAATTTTAATATTTAATTAATTATCAATAAATTGAGCTCGTGTATGAGTTTTCTAAATAAAATAATAGATTTATTTGTAAAATATTTAAATTAAGGCACATAATCAAAATATTATGAATATATGTATATGTCTATTTTTAGGTATCACAAATATAAGGCCTGAAGATAAAACTACATTTCTTTTATATTCCGAAGAAGGTTGAAACAATTTTATTTTTATTTTATTTTTCTATTTCAAAGAATATTCGGCCAGTTATTTTTGTGTGATTTCAAACTGAAAGTATTACACGTGTATTACTTATTTAAGCTTAAAACAACAAATAACAAAAAATCTTATGTGGCCAGCACATAATCAATTGCAATGTGAATTTGTCTAGTTTATCAAAAATATTACAGAAGATTATGAAAATGCGTTAAAGATTATTAAACACTTCTTTTCGATTTTAAAAACTCTAGTAACATTTACTTATTAAATGCCTAGAAAAATATTAATTTGGCTTTTAGTATAGAGTTTCGCTTTATTCCATTCAAATTCTTTGAAAAGTTCACCAGTTAGTTTCAGTAACTAGTTCCGTAGATATATAGTAAATAATATGAAATTCGCTTCCAGTTCGGTTTTCTGATCTTTCCAAAAAATTTATACGTTCGTTTTTTCGCCAACTTAAGTTCAAATATTAAGTGTTAGATTCAAATATCAAAAGTGTAAAGGCCCTGAAAAAAGTCCAGTTCTCAAAAAATCCCAAAAGTTGATCAACCCGTGACATATCCGAAATTAACTCACGTGCAAAATTTCATCAAAATGGGTTCAGCCAAACTTGTAATGCACGCAACATACAGACCGAAACCTCTCTAAATAGTTTATTTACGCTCCCCCTCCATGGAGAAGTGTGTTTTCACCAAAAACTCGATATGCGAAATTTGGAACCATCACATAACCTTCCTTATTGTATGCAATACGGTCGGTAATAACGTTTGTAAATACATTTTTCTGTCACTTCAGGATAGTCATCATTATATTATGTATGTACTAATAGATATACATAATTATGTATGGGTAAATATTGTACATATAATAAAAAATTAAATGCAAAATATATATGTACTTATAAACAACATATATGAATTCATAATAATTAAATGTTTAATTTATAGTATAATCGAAGCACTAATAGAGAAGACTCATAAGAATTTATTAGATGTTATGAGAATAGTTGTAGTTGTTCTTAAAATTTTTTTAGCGTTATAGGAATAGCCAAATTCTGACATGTTTTAAAATTTTCAAGATTGCTGGTAGTATGTGCTACTTATGAAAGTTGCTGGTTACACTCTATATAAAACTTAAGTTTAAGATCTGAAATCTGTAAAAAGGCAGTAACGTTACTCATACCTAATTTTTTTAAAAAAAAAATTTTCTCTATTAAGGTTATTTATAAACAAAAGAACTACTACTAGCGAAGTTTTAATTTCTTAAAGTGAGAAATTGGTACTCGTATTAAAAATTTTAGAGAATTATATAGAACTTTTCCATATAGAGGTGGCATTATGCGAGAGATTATTATTTATGTAATTTGGGTTCATTATTTTGCATAGCTCTACACAGAAGTGACCACAAAGTTAAATTGTGTTTACATAATTTGATTATTCGTTTCCATATTTTTTTAACAATTGAAAAAAAAAATTTTTTTAAAATTTCGAATTTTGGAAAATTTGCGCTTTAGCAAATTTTTACAATTTGAAACTCAAATTTGTTAACAGATATTGTAAATAAAGAATTGCACTTTAGAATTTTTCCGGACATATTAAAGCTGACCTCTGAATTTGTCACCTTGGTAGAAAAAAAGTTTGGCAAGATTTTTATTTCAACTTAATCTTTATTTAATACTGTATAATTTTATTTTATGATCGAATTTTATATTAGTAGAGCACATACATTTATTTACATCGAACAGTTTTAAGTAATTATATTTATTTTGTAATTTGGTAAAAATAAAAACCTGCTTATAATCTATATACCTTCTTATTTAGATAGTGACGAAGAAACTGAAATAACAAAGTACATTGCTCCTTGCGTGTATGGTAGTGAAATTTTTATAAGGTCGTAGAGATATTCAATTAAAAAATTAACACTATTAACCAAAAATCATTTCATATTTATACAGCATAACTTTTCAGAAATAATGTTCAAATTAAACGTATTGATTTCATGAAATCTTTTGCTGTACTAAATAGTTCTTTTTTGTACGTAAAATGAATAAAATTTCAAGCCAATGTCTCAAACTTTTAAGTTAGATATTAATTTATAAGATTTCGAAATATATTGTAGAAAGTAAGGTGTAATAATAAAAAAAGAATTTTTTTTTTTATTAGCGCTGCATTTACTCCTCATTATTCTTTTGTATATATCTACAATTTTTCATGCGAAAATGGTTTCTATATTTTTAAAACTGCGAGTATATTGTGTGTAAGTTTTTTTTTTTTTTTTTTCCTTCTTCACTCCTAGGAGGAGTATAGGGCTAGTGCATGATATCTATCATGCCCTAGTTTCTATAGTCATAGAGAGTTAGCTAGGTAGGTGACTAGCCTACCGTAGTTAGGCTTGTGTGTAAGTAGTAGACAAAAATTTTTCTCAAACAAAATTTCTTAGCTCTCTCCTCTCTATAGTATCCCAAAATTTAAGACTTAAGGAAAGAAGAACACAATCACTGTCCACTGCAGTAACAAAATGTGCTGTTTTCAACACATGTTTTCAAAAAAAAAATGTCAAAAGAAAGTGCTTGTTAGTTTCACTCTGTCCGTTCGTTGATGCGTGAACCTGTTTACAAAATTTCTACATTTCAAAACATTTTTCAAATTCTGCAAACGCAGAAATGTAGTGGCTGGTTTTTCTATACCGTCACAGCATAATTGAATATTAAGAAAACAAAAAAGCAGCTAAAATTTGCCGTTATCTAAAACCCGTTTTTTCAAATCTTTGGTATATTTTGTCTTCTATAGTTCAAGTTTATGGAGTCTGAAATAGTTACTTACAGATATTAATAAATAGTTTATTTTATTAGAAGAAAATTTTTTTCGCCTCCAATTTCGAGAGAGGTTATCGTTTCTCAAAATTTGTAAAATTTTTATTTTCGGCACCTACAAGCTTTTCAAAATTTTTAAAATTGCAGAAAGCTAACGGTAAATGCCATGCCATCAAAAAATATAATAATTTTTTTTAACTCACAGTATTAACCCTTGAATGCCAGCGTTATGTTTAGCATATGAAAGTAGTTTTAATAGATTGTTTTTGAGAGCAGTATTTTCACTTGTTAACTTACAAATGATTAGTTTGACTCACTTTTATTTATTTATCATTCACTCATATGTAGATACATGCATTTCTCCCTTTTGGGTCTACCCAGTTCCAGCAGTAGAGGGGAAGTCATAGGTTGCAGCAATTTTTTTTCTTTTAGATTTGGATAGATTAACCATCCGCCTTTATTAGTTATATTGCTCCTGTTTTTTAAATATTTATAATTTGAAACTGTTAAAAAAACATAATTATTACTTATGCGAATAATTTACAAATATGAACATGAAAGTAATTTGCATTTAAAATGGAAAAAACAAGTTAAAATTAATTGCTTTTAGTCGCAAAAAATTCTTTTGAACCCTTGCCATTAAATAAATCTTTCCAACCATAAAAATTGAAAAATAAATCTTGTGTTCTACAAAAATGGAAGATCTTTTTATAATTACCAGTTACAGGCACTTGCGCTGAAAAAGAAAATTTGTTTTTTAATTATTATTTAAAAATTAAAAATTAAAAAAATTTGATTTATAGCTATTGTTTTCTATAATTAGAAGTCCCAAATCCTAATCTTGTTACTTTACAATAAGGATATGAAAATTTACTTTTGTCTAAATTTTGAATTGCATTACTGATTTCGTTTTACTTTCTAGAGTTAACTGCGTCACATTTATTGTCTAATTATCCGATTGATAATGACAATAGACTAATGACAAATTTGATTGGTTTAAGAGATGTTTTGAACATCTGCTAGTATTCAGGAATCCTTATCGTTTCAAGTAAAAAAATTTCTGATCTGATTAATCCGAGAAAGATATTGTTAATTTACACCTAAAAGTACATTATGAGTATATCATATTAGCTAAAGTTCTGTAATTGTGCGAATAATTTCGCAAAATATTAAGTCTTTTTTTAAATATTCAAAATGTAAAATACGTCTTATTGACTTTTTCTAATATTTTTTTAGATGTTCATTTGTTGGATGGATCGGATAGTTTGGTTTATCCTAATGATGGTGTTTTCGAATCTCTTAGTGGAAATTACAGGAGTACCACCAAAGAAAGTTATAAATGTAGCAACAGAGGTAATAATAATTTGATTTTTTTATATCAGTACTAATGACAAATTTTTGTTTTCTTTCGCTCCTTACTTTTAATTTTTAATGGGTTATTAAAATTTTAATCACTTTCGCATTTATGTAGCAAGTTGAATATAAAAGGATAACGTAATTATAAAAACTGAAATTTACTCCGTAAATGTATAAGTATATATTTATGTATATTTCGTCTTCGAATCTTTCTTTAAAGGCCCGTGTTAAGAAAGTAAAATTAAGTTGGGTCAAACCAATGGTTTGTATTGTAGCACTTTTCCCTTTAACAAGTGAAAATTTTGCTTTTAAATACAGTCCATTTATACCTACCACACTATTAAAATTATTTTCATTCATATACGTAACTATTTCTAGGATTGCGTATATTTAGGATGATGCACACATGCAGTCTTTGAAATAAAGTAAAAATTAATTTAAAGAGGGGTTAACATAATGCTCGATATCAAGGGTTAATTGTGTGAGTTAAGTAAAATAATTATATTTTTTAATGTCATGGAATTTACCGTTAGCTTTTTGCGTCTATAGAAATTTGAAAAAGCTTGCAGTTTCGGATATATCAGGCGTCAAAAATTAAAATTTTACAAATTTCAAAAGACGATAACTTGAGAGGGGGTGGAGATGGAAAAAAATTTTCTTCTAACGAAATAAAGTTTTTATTGGTATCTAACATCTTCTTCACAACTTCTCTCAATTTCAGTCTCCCACAACCTGGGGTCTAGAAGAAAAACGACATCAAAAAGTTGGTAAAAAATCGATCTTAGATAACGGTAAATTTAAAAGGCCATTTTGTTTTATTAAAGTTTGACCATAGTGTTCCGCGATTGGAGAAGCAAACCGTTACCTTTTTGTTTCACTGCAATAAATAGTTAAAAAATGGCATTTTTAGGGTTTTAGGGGGGTATAACTTTTAGAGGGGGAGAGATAGGTAAAAATTTTGTTCTACGGAAATAAGTTTCTAATAAAGATCTATGTACGTATTAAATTTCAGCTTTCTATCTTTAAGGGTGTAGAAGTTTTGTAAACAGACACACGGACAGACGGACAGAGTTAAACTAATAAGCACTTTTTTTCAAAAAAATTTTGGAAAAGTACTAAAAAAGTTACAACTGCATTTAATTTTCCAGAATTAAATTTAAATTTTGTAAAAAATGTCAATATTTTTACTATGATTTTAAAACTTAGTTGTACTTTTTAGCAATTTTCCAAAAATTTTTTGAAAAAAAGTGCTTATTAGTTTCACTCTGTCCGGTGTACACTTTTTTTTGTTTACAAAACTTCTACACCCTTGAAGATAGAAAGCTGAAATTTAATACGTACATAAATCTTTATTAGAAACTTATTTCCGTAGAACAAAATTTTTACCTATCTTCCCCCTTCTAGAAGTTATACCCCCCCAAATCCATAAAAATGCCACTTTTTAACTATTTAGTGCAGTGAAACCATAAGCATTTTTCAAATTTTACAAACGCAGAAAGGCAGCGGTTTGCTTCCCCTAGCGCGGTATACTACTGTTAAACTTTAGAAAAACAAAATGGCCGTTCAAATTTACCGTTATCTAAAGTCCGTTTTTTTTCAAATTTTTGATATTGTTTTTCTTCTAGACCCCAGCCTGTACAAGGTTGAAATTTTAGGGGCTTTTAGACACTAATAAATGCTTCATTTCGTTAGAAAATTTTTTTCGATGTCCACCCCCTCTCAAGTTATCGCCTCTTGAAATTCGTAAAATTTGAATTTTTGACATCTTATATTTCCGAAACCGCAAGATTTTTAAAATTTCTATAAGCGCAAAAAGATAACGGTAAATTCCATGACATTAAAAAATATTATTATTTTTCTTAACTCACACAATTAAACCTTAAAATCAAGCATTATGTTAACCCCTCTTTATATTAATTTTTGCTTTATTTCAAAGACTGCATGTATGCATCATCCAAAATGCGTATGCAATCCTAGAAATATTTTCGTTTATGAATGAAAATAATTTTAATAGTTTGGTAGACATGCATAGACTGTATTTAAAAGCAGTATTTTCACTTGTTGAAGGGAAAAGTGCTACAATACAAACCATTGGTTTGACCAAACTTTATTAAATATTCGATCTAGAAGAGCTATTTTATACAAAACATTAATTCAAAAGAAGGCGTTTGCTATATAGAGAAAATAGTTACGCATTCTTTGAATAAAAATAAATTAGAAAACAAATAAAGTAAAATTGGTTGTTTTGTCTGACATTTAATAATCTTAAACGAAATCATCCATTTAACTTTTTCAAATGAGTGTTAAGGGGTGAACCGTGAAAATATTGAGATATCGGTAAATATTTTCTTTCCAGATTCCCTACGATTTGTTAACATACAATATTTTGAAAATTTTTTCATCATACCCGATCCAAGTTGTATTAGAATTTAACAATATTGATAGCAAAATAATCCATTAAATTCATAATACACAAAAAATTTAATTTATTTAAAATAATTTTATTATGGAATTCTAAATTTGAAATTTCACTTTATAAATTTTCTGAAATATTTCTACATTATTTTGAAACCACTTTATCGTACCGGTGCATTTTCCTAGAAAGCGGTTTTTATATTAATGCGACTCACGCCATCTCTTTCTTTTTTAAAATTTTGTAAACAGTCCTGTGAAAGTTTTCCATGATTGGTTTAATGTTGGGCGCCTACAAGTAACCAGAATTAGAACCATTACTTTTTCCAATACTTAAGATTACATAAAATACCGACAAAGTAAATTCTAATAATATTTTAATTCCTTCGGTCATAAATTATTTTTGCTTTAAAAATTGAAATTATTAGCAGCATTTTTCTTTATACCAAGACTTTAAATCTTTTTTTAAAACCCTCTCCCCTCTAAAGTAAAAATTTTAATTTTTTTGTTTTCGAACAAGATTTAGTTGTGTTGAAATTTTCAACATTTTCTTCTTGATAAAATGCTTTTCATTTTGAATTTCCTTATTTTAGTTCAGAAGAACGAATAATTGAAAAAGATTTCTTATTTATAACTTCTCCAAAAGAATTTATGAACTTTTACAGATTTTTTAATTTTTCTTAACTCGAAACAACTTTTAAATGGATTACTTTAGTTTTAAAGTTAATTTCTTTTTCTTTTAAATTTTTATTTCAGGAATTTTATTTTTTTTTCGTTAATGTTTTCAAAATTCCTGCCATAAATTAATGTTGTACTACAAATTTCTATTAAATTTTATTCAACTTTAAATGTATTTTTTTTGTTTTTTTTTTAGAAAAAAGACTTATCCCACTTAAATGAAATTTCTACAATGAGAGATGTTGAAACTTCTACAAGAGAACTAAGTATACACAAATTAATAGCAATGCCAACACAAAGTTCAAAAATCAATACAAATATTGAAGTTGATGATAGTGGTAAAATAATTAGCAAAGAACAACAGCAGACGATATTGGACAGCATTTTCAATGTAAGTAAATCACCTAAAATTCTTAATGTTATTTAGTCCCTTTTTATTTAGTCCTGTGGAGTTTAAGATTGAACTATATACTTTTCATTCTCTCTTGTAATGAAAGCAATGAAATTATTTTTCATAACTAATGAATTTTTGTAAAAAATTTCAATTTCTAATTTACTTTCTTCTTTTTGGTTATATTTTTTTAGATTCCTATATCAACATTAAAAGCTGTTAACAATTTAGTTCAAGTAATTGTCGGAAGTATTCCAATACCTGGAACACGAAAACCTCTTGGACAACAAAATCAAGAACCAATAAAACTACAAAGGATTAAATTTAAGCATCCGCATACCAAAGATTTTAATTTAACAGTTTTAAGAATTTAGACTTTTTTTTAATTGATTTCAGTTGTAATTATAATATTTTCGTGCATAAGAATTTTTTAATTAATTTAAAATTAAGTAACTTAAGTTTTTATTCTTGTAAAATAAAATTGTGATTTTTAAACATAAAAATTTTATTTATAGAGAACTTTTTTTTCTTTTAATAATCCGATAAGTTTTCTAGATTCTAATATTTTGTACTGAAACTGTTGATATTCAATATGGGTAGAAAAATTCTTCATTTAAATATTGGACGACTTTTGAAATTAAGTTCTTATTTGCGATTCAAAAAATTTCGTTATTGAGACTATTTTCATGGAAATACGGAAACGTCAATAATTAAGCTGGAGAGCATATGAACTACAACATAACTAACTTTAAATATTAAAAAGAATATAATTATAAACTGCAAATCCCAAGGAAAACTGAAAACAATAGCGTTTAAAACAAAAACCATTTGTTTGAAAGGATTTGTTTAATGACAACCACGTCTGATTGCATTTGATATACAACAAATTTTGTGTCAAGTTATCAAGTTTTCAAGTCAAGAATATCAAGTTTTCGGTGGGAATGCACTTCTCCATGGTAGAGAAGCGTAAATAAACAATTTTTAGCAACCTGTCAATCTATCGGTCTGTGCGTGCACGCGTGTATATCAAGTTCAGCTGAACCGATTTTGATGAAATTTTATATGTAAGTTTATTTCGACCATGGCGCAGACTGATCAACTTTTGGGATATATCAGGCCTCGGGAACTGCATTTTTTAGCGGGCCTGTTTTACATTTTTGACCATTTTGAAGAAAATATTCAACCGATTTGCTTGAAATTTCATATATAAGCTTAGCTCGACCGTCCGTGAAACCTCCTAACTAACCGATTTCATTGAAATTTAATATTTAAATTTTTCGTATTAAAACAATGAGTCTATAAATTTTTTGGAAAGACAAGGGCTCAGAAATTGATCTGTGAGCCGATTTTACATTTTTTACATTGATGGAATTTCTTGAAATATGATATTTAAGTTCTGGTTGTTACCGAAACTAATTGCCGAGCGCAAAACGAAACTCTACTAACAGCAAAATTTATATTTTTCTGGGTATGTTAAAAGCTTACTAATGCCTTAAAAATTTGAAAGAAGTAACTTAATGGAAATTTCTTCATGCAACTGCAGAACAGATGGATGACGTTATCAAAGGAACGAGTTAAAGGCAGAAGAATTAATTAAAAAACTTTCCCCTCGAACTGGACTCGAACCAGTGACCTACCGCTTTCTAGGCGGACGCTCTACCAACTGAGCTACAGAGCTAAATTATTCGTGTAATAAGCACATTTTTATTAATTTCTCAACTATGATGTTGTATTAGTAAAATTCATAATTGTAAGAAATATTTACAGACATTTTTATAATATTCTGTAACACTTTCATTTAACTAGACAATACACAATGCGGTCGGTTATGTGCTGACAACATCAGATTTTTTTATTTTAGCTCATTTTCAACACTCTATCATTATTTAATGAATTGTTCTTCTTCTAAATTGTAATCGCGAAAAAAGAAAACAATTATTTTGAAAAACTAAAAATAAGTTGCGTATGTGGAAACTTGAAAAAATGTTTAAAAATTTAAATTTTACTTCTATTGCAAAATATTGCATACTTTTGGGTAAAACTGCTTCACTTTAGTTTTATTTTATATTGCCTTTTTCTCAAATACGTGTGTATGCAAACGTTACTTTGTTTTATGTATAAATGAGTGAAATTTTAAGCCAGTTTTATTTAAAAAATAAGCTGAATTTATGGAAAATTCAAAATATTATTAAAAACAATGAAAATCTAATGTAATTTCATGTGAAGCAAAATACTCTCCTTGCTTACTTATATTAAATTTCAATTGAGTTTAAAATAAGATTTCTGTCTTAAATTCAAAGAAGCTGTGTCCAGCAGAGGCAATATATAAGTTTTTGATTGATCTGTCAAACTTATAAATTACCTCTATATATTTTGCAGAATTGAAAATGTTACTTATCTTTTGTTAAAAATTGTCGAAAAACCATATCCTTATGCGTTTACTTATACTCGTAAATCCATTTTATTTTGGTTATATAGCTTGGTGTTTAAAACTTTAATGTTTGCTACTACAGAGTTCTTATGAACTTTCGGAAAAAGTGTGTTAAAAAATAAATTTTGAATCATCTAAACTACCAAATCTTATTATACAAATTATATTATGGGCATTTTAAAAAATTTCCATTTTTTTCGGAAAATTTCAATTAGTTCGATAACTAATTTTAATTTTATAATGACTTGACAAACAAGTTTAATGAAACCAAGCTTACAAAAGTTCATCCTTCTTTAAAAGAAGTTTCACAATACTAAACAGAAAAATTAAATAGCGATAAAATGATAGCATACAGGGCAATTCCCACCACTTTCCCAGTTTCACTGCAACAGTCCTTTATATTGCAAAAACTCGATAAAAACATGTCTGCTCTAATATAATAAACAAATGAAAATTTCTTAAGATTTTAAAATGATATATAGCAGCTTAATAACGGAATCGCAAAGAAGGAAAACTTGTCAATTTATTCATAGTTAAAATTGAACGAACAAAAGTTATATAAGTAATATTTCCAAAATAATCTATATTTATCGATGTTGCATACATTTGGGATAAATCGAAATTGGGATCCTCTCACTATACTCGACAACTATTTTTAGGAGAACCTGTCACTCCAAATGTTCTTTTGTATGGAAATTTATTACTGTTGGGTTTAAAAAATTATAATTTGTTATAAACCAAAATTACGATATTAAGCATTTACGATATATTTATTAGCAAATATATTCCTTTTTTGTATAGAATACATCGGAGAAAGCTTTCTTTTAAGCTTTGTTGGAAATTCGCAACCAGGTTGGTTTATTTACGTTTAAATAGGCATTGTATTGCTCAAAAATACTCTTTCAATTTCTATACTTCGGTTCAACCATAGCAATATAGTGTTATATACGAGTACAATGCGATTGCCACATACCTTTAATAGTGAATAAAATTTTTTTTTGTTGTTAAAAGTTGCTCTCGCAAGTTCACAAAAAAAAACTTTTGATCTTTACAAAAACCATACATACATTTCGAATTTTTTCTTAAAAGGAAATGAATGCTCAAATGTTTTAACTAAACTTCTATATAAAAAAAATTTTTTTTGTGCCTTATTTTTTTTCAACTTAATTTTATTTATAATTTTGAAAATATTCTGAATAACATTCTGTTTTGTTTAATACTTTAATTTTACATTAAATTTGTAATAGTGTTACACTACAACACGGGGTTTTACAATTAAATATGAAATATATTGAATAACAAGAACTTGTCCAATTTTTCTACATATTTGATCTGGAAGTTGAGTTTAAAAATTAAATAAAATTCAAATTAATTTTTTCACTAACTGTTTTTCTAGCTAAATTTGGTTTATTACTAAATTCGACAAAGTTTAGAAAAATACTGCTTGAAATATTAAAACTGCTTGAATTAATTAGGAACTTTCATCCTAAATATATGCAATTGAAATTGAAAAAGAAAACTTGTGCGAAATCAATTTCATAAATTTTTTTCGAAGTGAAAAAAAATATTTTTTTTTTATAATTAATGTAATATTTAAATTAGTTGGACAACATATTTTTGGTTTATAAAATTTTAAAAAGAGTTATAATTTTGATGCGAAATAAATTTTAAGGAAAATTTTCAAATTAATTCAATTTTAATTAAAAAATAAAATTATGATAATTCTATCCCATTACAATATTTTTTTTGAAAATTTTCCTAAAATTTTTAATTAATAATTTAAATTTGTTATTCACAATTTTTTGAATAAACATTAGTGTCTGAAAAGCAGACAGTGTCGTTAACGGATTGCTTTTTAATATTGTCTCATCCTTTTATTTTCATATTACATACACAATAATAATTGTATACCTACATAGAAGTGTTATTATTCTGTAATATAAGTAATTAGGTTTTTGTTTACACACTTTAAAAACTCAATTCATAAAATATAATAAAGAGACTGTTATAACACTGCTAATGATTATGCAAACGAATACATTAAAATCAACAATGGTAAAAAGAAACAAGAAACAGCGGATAGGGATTGAAAATAAGAAGGTTGTATAATAAAGTTGTTATTATACAAGTATATATACACAAACATGCATAGATATTGTTCTGGTTTTTATAAAGCACTATTTTGTATAAGAAAACAAACAAATTATCAATTTGTAAAAGAGAATAATAATTTTAAAAGAGTATTATTGTAGAGTATGTAGTGGGAAAGTTGATTATCATAAGTAGATTAAATTTATCGTATTCGTAGTACTTTTACTGCACAGGTTTTGTGCAATAATATAAACTTGTAAAACTTGAAACAATAAATAGAACTTTGCAAACTTGAAAATAATTCGTATTCTTTTTTTTTCTAACAGAAATTTATTCTTCTTAGAATTATTAAACTTAGCAATTGAATTGAGCACAGCAATATAGCTGAGTGTTAAAAATTTGAGCTCAACATTTTATGAATTATTGTTTAAAAGTGGTGGAAAAATACTAATGCTGTACCTTTTTCAGTAATGTAAAAGCTTATTTGATAGAAATTTCAAGATTTCCTTTTAAGAAAGAAATTATTTTTTTTTTTTTGTTTTTAAAAGCACTTTGCTATTTTAAAAGGGAATTTTTGATTGAACAGGTTTCAGGAAAGGGAATTTATATAATTAAATAGTGTAGTTTTTTCATAAATATTTGTCACTTTTAATAAAGTAACTTTGAAATGCTGCTATAGTTGCCTTTCGTTTGACAACACTTGCTGTAATATATTGTTACAGTTGACCAGGTGATCTTTAATTAAATTAATTAAATCAACACACTCTCTCTCTCTCTCTCCTTCCGTCTTTCTCTCTCTCTTCTACCTTGATACTCACTCTCAATATTTTGTTTCTATTTCTTAATAAGAGAGCAAACCAAAATAAAATTTTTAATAACAAAAATCAATGAAGAAAAAGCTTCCACCTTCCTTATTTTTTTAATTTTGATTTCTTTTATTGCGTGATCTGATCTAAGACAAAATATTTTTACTAGAAAAAAAATAAAACAGGTTGAATACAAGTAGTTTGAGTTGATCTTTTGAACGCGTAACACATAAATATTATTTTATAGTTTTTGATCGGTAAAAGCTGTTTAAGTAACCGGTAAAAAATTCAAGTCTAAACTGTTGTTACAAGTGGAAATTATTACAAAACTATAAATTTTGAGTTAAATTTACTGAAAAAATAACGACGATTATTACGAAATATTTTTTTTTTCTTCAATAATAAAATAATTGGTTTTATTTAGTGAAGCAGAGCAAACGGTCAAAAACAATGTTTTTCACTTATTTTGTGTTTTTAATTTTATCAATTAGCAATGCTATTGCTAAACCACAGGTTATATTTGATTTATATTGTTTTAAATACTTTTAAATGAATATTAAGATTTTACCGAAGATAATAATAAATCATTTCAATCTTTAATGTTTTCATTGTACATGTTATTTTAATAAGGTGCAGTTTAGGAGAATTTATGATAATTTTTATTATTTATTATTTTAATAAAAATTTTTAACACTCAATATTTGCGTACTATTAAAATAATAAATTCCAGTTATTGTTTATTTTTCTTAATTGATTTAAATCGTAAATGAAATAGGTAATTTTAAAATTTAATTACCGGCTTTAAAATTTTTTTCTTAAACTTTATTTTTTATTTTGTTATAAGAATTCTATTTGGTTGATTCTGCTATACTTTTTGTTTAGCGCAACAAGTAATTTGTTATTGCTAGTACCGAAAGAAAGTTCCAGTATCTTTAAATTCTATTTGATTGCGGAAGAAATGCTATTATTAATGTCATATAAGATCTTTATTGTCTTTAAAAAAGATTATTAATTTACCAAAGCTATTACAAAGCTAAGAATTACAATAAACATATTTTAAATCTTTCTTAGAAAATATTTTGTAAATAATTTTCACGAAGTTTTCATTGTAAAATTTATGCAAATTAAAAATTGTTTCATGGACCTATGATTAAATAATTTTGAAAAGAGCGTGAAATTTTATTGACGGAATTTCCGTATAAAATATCTTAAAATATTATTGCTGTTGTTGAAGTAACTGTTATAATTATAAATAATTAATTAAAACGTTACGTTTGATTGATCAGAATATGAAGTTTGATTTCAATTGGAAATAAACAACAATTAGAGCATATCCAAATGTAAATCTGTTAATAGCTTTAACAGATTCAAAATGAAAAATACAAGTATTTTAGTATGAAATATCGCCTAAACGTTTTGAATGATCTGTTATGTCTATAGCTTTCACTTAATTTATTTAAAATTTACTAAGATAAAGCGCATTTGATAAAACTAATATTAGAGTAGCAAATTTTATTCCATACATAATTTTTTTTTATTTTTTAAGGGCATCTACTTTTACTGTTTGTTTTTCAACATTCACTTATTTATCATTGATAGTTCGTTAGTATAGCTGTTATTAGAAGCAATAAATTCTCTTTGAAGGATAAGTTTTATCAATCCGCAAATTAGCAATTAATAATAAACACCCTTGGAAAAATAAGTAATAAATAATAATGATTAACATGTTCTCTCAGTGAGTTAAAAGATAATTAAATGTTTAAGTTGAAACGATTTTTACACTGAATAAAGATAAAACAAACTTAGATCAAACCGAATAACAATGGTTTGTTAACTAACACATTTGCTTATTGAATAAGTGTAAAATATCGTCAATTATTTGTCAAAAATAAAAATCTTCTAAAATAATTTGCGCAATATACAATACTAAATGGATTTTATGCAATAATTAATTATTGCATAGTTTTAAAAAGAAAACGAAAATTAAAAGAAACATTAAAATTATAGTCGAATTAGGCCAGTTAAGTCGAATTATAAATTATATATTTTTTTGAAAGAAACATTCACAAAAAGCGAATGAAACATGAAGTTTTTGCATTTTACAGAAGTTTCGCAAATATAAAAATTAAGAACAAATTGCGGAAAATTGAAATTTTACAAATAGAAAAATTTCATAACTATACAAGCTATTTCCCAATTTCTATGAAGTCGAGAAGCTGATAAAATTTCAAATCCCCACAACTTACCGTCTAAGAGGATAACGACAAAAGAGTAGAATTTGAAGGAGATAATATATAACTTAACTTAACAGTTATAACAAATTGTAATGTCTACATATGCCAGTTTGAATTACCGGAGGATTCAATTCACTGTTTTTCTAAACTTATAGAACTTCAAAAATTTTTCTGGTTTCGACAAAATTTCATCACATTTTTAAAATTTTGATTGATCATAATTTTTTAACAAATATACGCACGGGCAAAATGTGAGCATAGTGAAACTAATAAGCCCCATTTTCTCCTTTTTCTTATAAATGTGCAGAAAATCAACGATCTTAATTAAACATTTATTGTTTCCATTATACTTCATTACAAAAGGTTTTATTCATTACGTTCTATAATATTATTCAATTATTTTAATTCATGATTATATACGAGTATAAATCAAAATTTATCTTTGGAATTTATACCCATAATTACATATGACTTAATAATAAATTTCCAAATTTTAATTTATAGAAAAGTAGACTCTTTCATAAATAATATGATCAATAATCTAAGTATGTTGTTGCGTATAGACATTTAGTTGTATTTTGATTAAATGAAAATTTTTCATAAATGGCAGCAGAAATAAATTATTGTGTGCTATGTGAGGTAAATGCTAATTGATTTAGAGACAATGAAATTTCTAAATAAAATTCTTAACCTATTAGAATTTAATTTAGAGAAACTAACGTTCAAACTAATTAAAATTCAAAATTTGTACAATACTTTATAAAAATAACTTACGTTGTTTTGTAATATTAATTTTATATTTCAAAATAATTTTCAGAATTATTTTGTTAATTTCATTGAAATACATACATAATTAAATTCGGAAATGAAAATAGGTATAGGTATATTTAAAATGTTGTGCGAACGAAAGTGCATTGATTGACCTTTAGCTACATAAATATCACTTTTAGGTTTTAATAACAAGACAAGAAACTATGAAAATTATTTATTATTTATAATTAAATCTTTATTTATTGTTAATTTTTCTCTATGTATATTAAAAATTTTGCTCCTATATATATCTATGCACATATTAGTTATAATTTGTTTTTGTTAGTATTATTTTCTCTTATTACGTAAAAAAGTTATACATAATTAATTACAATATGCTTTTACAAAATAAATTGAAAGCTTTATAGCTACATTTTATAAATATGTTATGTATATTTATATAATGTCACTTAAAATTATACTTGAATAATATTTCCTGAATTACTAGAATTAATTTCTAAATACTAGATGAGATAAGGGAATAATTAAATTTAATAATACGAAACTTAAATATTCTCTAGTTAATATGAAACATATCTGTATTGTGACAATAGTGCTGTCTAAATTGTAGATTTTTTAAGGGAACCGAGTGGGGCAGGAGTATCCCCCGGGTCACCGCAGCCATTCGCGACTTATTGTAGCCTCCCCACGCCCCTCCAACAAAATCCTCATTCCAAGTATGAAACCGGAGATATCCCGGATAGTGATGTCTAAGTATAACCCCGATTAAATTATTTTGACCGTTTGATTGAGTTTGACCGTTTTATATTGGACTACAACTTTTTTTTCTATTAAAGTAAGTGAATTTTGCAAGAATTTAATTACCTATAGTTGAGATATAGCTGAGTTTGATTACTAATACACTAAGTCTCACGGGCAGACGTGATTCTATCTCTTTCATTACATGTTTTTCCATTTAAAACGATACAACGGTTTAGAACTATACTCAAAAATTCAAATTAACCTAGAAAATTCTTTCTTAATAAATTTCTTAATAGCCCTTATATTTATAAAAATAGTGATATACGTAGACACTTTTACATTGTATAAAAGAAAATTTGAATTTGTAAATATGTACGTATATAATATTATAAGATCAGAATTCAAATGAGGAAATTATTATTTTATTCCTGTAAAACCATAAAATTATTTATTAAAAAGATTAAGAACAAAAATTGAGTTTAAAAGTTGGCATCGTTTCAAAAGTTCTGAATAAAATATTAGAATAATATTGTATATAAAAAAATTTAACTATGTGCCAAGAATCACTTAATTTTTTTCAAAGATTATAATTCTATTGCATAGTTAATATTATTTTATAAAAACTAAAATTGCCCAATGATTTTGACTTTTTAATTTTGGAATATTTCCATCTCACTTCATTTCAATTACACATATTTAAAATAAATATGTAAATTAAATTTGGCAGTATATTTTCTAAATTAAATAATAATAACCTAGCAATGCATATGTAATCTTAAATTAAGTATAATAATTTAATTATCTTTAAGAATAAAATTCCAAATTAACAAATTGAATAAAAAAGGTATATTTAATATAAATTTAATTTACATGTGGAAGTTCTAAATAAATAATTCAATTGAAAATGAATTCAACTCCACATTCTTAATTATTTAGAAGCATTCATTAATATTATTAAAATTAAATGAATTTAATCTTTGAAATATTTGCATAATTATAAAGTTCATGTAGATACATAGCTACTAATATTTTATTAATATTGTTTAACTAGTATGCTTTATATTTTTTAATTGCTTATTCACACCTCAACATTTTTAAACTAAATTAGAATTAAAATAAAACTTTCTAAGTAAAACATGCCTGCTTAATAGGGTGATTGAATTAGGAAATTGAATAGGCGTCATATACATAAGTTTTTTGGAAAATATTTTGCAATGGTTTATATAAAAATATCAAAATTAACAAGTTTTCTCACAAAATTGCAGGCAATTAAACGAATGAGATAAAGAAGAATTTTCCCTTAAAATTGTAGGAAATTAACTACCATTTTTACTACAACCGTCCTATTTTATTAAAATTCGGGAAATGTACAAATCATCAAACGTGAAATAAATAATTAATAACACTTGGGGAAGAAAAAACAATCTAGAATAAAGCGCATAGGATTCATAAGGCACACATAATATTATTAGCGTAAAGCTTATTACTCGTAAAATTTTGAGTAAAAAAAGATATATGTAAGTCACCACAGCACCTTTCTGTAATCCTTAGTTTGAAAAAGTATAACAAATTTCGGGATTTAGGTGTTTGTTCAAAGTTCTTTTAAAAATGAACTAGAACTAAAGGATGAGGCCAAAAAAAAATTATTTTGTTGCCTTCGTTTAATAACTCTTATCAGAATAAAGATTAGAAATTTTTGTTAATATATTTAGTTGGATAATTTATTTTCCTTCACTTTAGTTCCACATGTATTATTTACATTCTTAG